ACAGGAGGCTCCCGTGTGGATAGAGGCAGATGTACTGAATGTTTGATGCAGCCTTCTGCAGCTGCTGCCTGTTACTGCAGGCTGTACCTGGCTCTGATCTCTGTTCCTCAGCCAGTCCCTGTGGGTCCCTGGCATGGATGCCTGTGCAAGTCTATCAAATGTCTGCTGAACTCAATTAATAATCACTAAAGTTTCCTTCTTTCCTCTTTTTCCTAAGAGCTCTTTTCATTCAGATACATGGTGGGAGCATCACTGCTTGTCTTCTATGTTGTCCTTTCTTGTTAATGTGGAATGGTGAAATTCCTATTAAATTAATCTTCCTGCTCTGTTCATGCTAGTATATGTTGTAAAACCAAGATATGAATTGTTTGATGTATTTTAAAGGAAGAAAATTTGCACACTCCAGAGTAAGGAAGAACTTGTTCTTTCCATCTTTAGATATGAAGAATGACCCACAGTGCTTGATTCAAACTGAAAACCACTTGTTTACTTGACCCATCATGTGGAGACACACTTGCAGCTCCTAGTGTCTTGTGTGATGTGGAGATGTGTACTGAGCGCACGGTGTGTAGAGGAAGAGGACAGAGGTGGGAAGGAGGCCTCGGGGTTTCTTTGGTATGTTTTAATCCTTAGTAAAACTTTCCCTGCTAGATCTGAAATGGGTGAATTCAGATGGGTGACCTTTTTGTATAATTTGTGGATGGAGTTGAATTGGGTACTGCTATAGGGATAACATAAGACAGAGGCAGGGAGTGATGTTTTGTAATCTGTTGCTTTCTACTTCTGCCCCCAAGGGTTTTTTTCTATATATATTGTGCAGATTGGTAAAAGGCCTCTGTGTTTTCCTTCAGTTTGTGTGGGTTTTTTGGGAGTGGGGATGGTGATTGCTTTGGGGTTTGTTTTTCATGGTGTAGGATTGCCAAGGCAGAAAAGGAGTATTAGGGGAACAAGCTGCTTTTGTTTTAGTGTTATTTCTGAGGTTGAGTTGCTTTTAACTTCTTTTAATACTAGACCACAAATGTCCATTAGATGAGAAGGAAGGTGGAAACAGTTCCTGTGTGACACTGCTCAAGCCTATATTTGCAAGATCTTAAATCTCTGTATATAAATTCTGAACTTTGTCTGTATTTGGTTTATAGCTTTCTTATAGTAGCCATGCAACTTATTTTACACTTTTAATATTAAGACAGTCTACTACTCTGCCCATTTGGTCAGAGAATAATCTGCTGTTTACTGACTATGCCTGGGCATCAGAAAAGCTGAGACACATTCCAAATGTTCTAGTAGTGAATAATAATTTATCCTGCCTACGTACAGTGTTTTCACAGAAGCTGCAGGGGAAGGATTTCAGATTGAACACATACTTGCTTGTGTGGGTATAAAAGGGCAGTGAGGGGATATTCCTCACTGGAAAAATGATCCACAGTTTTCTCTGTAAACTTTCTTGGTCCATCATTAGGATCTTTACACTCACTGTGCCAGTCAGTATTGGTTACTACAAAGGACGAACTTTTATTACCTTGCATTAGTAAAAACTACACTAGTTATTAGTACAGATAAGTGACTCCTTCTTCCAATCTCTCTTCAGATTGTTTTTAAAGACAATGACCTTTTCATTCCTCATCACCAAGCTAAGATGGTAGTGAAAGTTATATTAAAACCTAACAAAATAAAATAGTTTAGAAACATTGAGTTGAAATACATTGCAGGTAAAAGAAATCAAGAAATTTTGTGCTCTGCATGTGGGCTTATTATTTTTTTTTTGTATTGTTGTTGAGGTGATTTTTTTGCATAGCAAATGGACTATCAAAGAATAGATGTGCCAGACAGTAGACTTACCTTGCTTCAAATATCTCTGCAGTACTATCACAAAGCAGACTGTCTCAAGGATATGCAGTGAGAGTAGATGGATGATGTAGGTCATGCTGTACTGGATTGTTCCTACTATGGTGGCATAATGTTTTATGGCTAGGGAGGAGACATCTGGTTAATGCCTTGAAGTTTTGAAGGTTGTATAGTGTCAGCAAGGTGACCTCTTAAAAATCAGTGTGTACATAGCACCAAATAACTGTTTGGTTTTTGCTTAAAGAAGTCCTTTGATTCTATGATTTTGCAAAATCTGGAGCCATGCCCAGGTGTCCAAATCTGTCATTTACCGCTCTCCCTTTAGTTGTTAAAATTTTGTCTTCCCATCCTTCAGGACCAGAGCTGATTGCACTTCTGCCAGAATTTAATCTCTTTATGTACTGCCAGCATCTTGAGTAAAATGTGCTTTGGGATTTATACATGCCATCCAATTTATTTTTTAAATTTTTTTTAAAGAGTTGTCTGTGGGGGCATTCAGGAAGAGTTTATTCAGGTACTGCTTAGCAGAGTGTCTTGACAGAAACTGCTGTGAAAGTGAGATGAATGGTTCTTGATTCCTTTATTTAACAATAAACAAATTATTTAAGTTGGAATGGAGTAGGCATAGATGAGGAAAGTGGAAAAAGTTCCTGTGTTACAGTGCTCAAGCCAATTTTTCAAGATTTTAAATCTCTATGAATTCTGAACTTTGTCCGTATTTGGGTTATAGCTTTCTTGCAGTAGCCATATAACTTATTTTATACTTTTATCATTAAGACAGTCTATTCCTGTGCCCATTTGCTTGGAGTATAATCTGCTGCTTACTGACTGTGCCTGGGTATCTTGAAGGTCCGAGATGTACTGATGTGGCAATTCACATCCAGAATTGCATGCAAAGCAGTGACTTCTGTTTTGGAATAAGCTTTGCCGAATAATAAACCCAAGCAAATCTAATACAAGATTTAGTTGCCAGTCAACTAGAGTTAAATCCTAATTTATCTCACTCTATATTTAACAGTGGCACAGCCTGGCAGAGGATAAATAATCTTACTGTCAGTTCATTCTTGATTATAGTGTCAGCAAATGCTCCTACTGCTGAAGGTACATGGGCAAGACAGATGGAAGGTGGTAATTACATGGACTCACTGGGAAACCTGTAGGAAAAATGTTGCTTGAAAAATTATTAGTTCTAAGAAAAACTGCGTTTTGTAACTTACCTTAAAAATGAATTAAAACAAAAAATAAATTTTCAGAAGATAGTTTATCTGCTGTGAAACATCTGTTGAAATCCCAACTTTGACACAAAGGGTATGAACAGGAAATCTGTCTCTTAGTTCTGCGTGTTGCTGAAATGAACACTTTTCTCTGCAATTTTAGCCTTTAAAAGTATTTTATTACCTTCCCTGGCCACTGAAAATGCTGTATTTGCATATTACTGCAAATATTCACTCTGGATTGTCTTTAACTGATTGCTGAAGACCTACTGCTGTCTTTCTTTCCTTCCCTTTTCCTTTTTTTGCACTGTTGCAGAAGAAAGGAAACTTCAGGGAAATATTTTTGTTTATTACTTTGAATCTTTTTGCTTCACTATCAGGCTCAAATTTAATTTCTTCTATTGCAGGTGTTTCAGTTCAAGCTTAAAAATATTGAAGTGCGCATGGGAATAGATTTATATTTGCATATGTAAATCACCTCATCAAATCCACCATTCACCATATGGCTAATTTCAGTTTGCTGTAATCACAGCCTGATACTCAGAACAGTTCTGCACTTCAGAGTGTTGAAACTGTATGAGTCAGGACTGTTGTGAAGCAGGAAAACGGTGGTGTGAAAAGGCACTGGGAATACCTGTAGCTCCATTGATAAAGTAAATGACAGTTTATATATGTGAAAGGCTGGATGTTAACCAGGCATACAATTATGCTCAGCCTTGTACTGAAGAATAATCATAGAATCAGAATGGTTTGGGTTGGAAAGGATTGGAAAGGACCCTCAAAGGAATAACGAGGTGACTGAATGCAACTCCATCCAAAAACATGCACGGATGTAAAGGATACTTTTGATTACAACTGGGTTGTCAGCAGCCAAAAGCTTGATGCAATAGGAAGCACTATCAATAACCATTGATGTAGCTGTGAGCCTTTCGAAAAATTACAATTGAAATTTTTAAAATCTAGGTTTTTCAGGGAGAGAGTTGTGTTTCATCTCTACCAAGATTCAAAAGTTTATCCTTGGTGCAGGTTTACCTCTGGAAGACAATGTTCATGCATCCTTTGTTTTGACACAAAAAGTTGGATCAGTCCACAAAAAGAATTGCTTCTAGGAGAAGAGGTGGCTGCAATGGCACACTTGTCCTTAATGTGAGAATACAGGAGGCTGACTGAGAAGAACTCTTGTGGGTTTTTTTGGAGGAGAAGTTAAGAAAGGAAATTGCTCATGGTTTTCTTGAGGAATGATAAAGTATTTCCAAATTCTTAAAACTCAGAAGTTTGAGGTGACAGGTAATGCACTATATAAAAAATGCCATTTTGAGAAGGGCAAAGTTTGTGATTGGGTTTACTTTAAAAGGTAATTTTGGCAAAACGGGGTTTAATTTGTGGGAGTATTTGTGGATTCCCAGATAAGCTTGTAACTCTATTCTCTCATCAGTGTTTAAAGACTTAGAGCAGAAAGCCTTAGCCTTTTGAGCTATATGCAGTTTTAAAGTACTGCTTTATTTTGCTCTGTAGATAAATCTTACTAGTTGTGTGAAGATTCTGGAAACATTTTGCAGTGTTTTCATATGGTATACACTTCCCTGTTCTTGCTTTCTATGTGATGTTTAAAAGGAAAAGGTTTGCTAACATCTGTTCTGTCTAGAGGATGTTTGTGTACAGTTCTCTGTTTAGCTTTGTGCTCAAACTAAAAATTTTGGCCGTAGTTAAGAGTGTAGATACTGTAAAATGCACTCAAAAAATCCAGATTTTAATGCAACAGATTGAAAAGAGGAGTAGCCTAACCCTTTTTGATTCAGTTTGGTAGTTTGTGTAGCTGCTCTGCCAAGAGAGGGTGAGGAAATTTGTGCACGAGCCAAAGTTGCAATTGCGTTCAGATGACCTTACAGCATCAAGAACCGTTCATGTGGGGGAAACACAAATAGGAGCGACACTTAAAGCGAGCCTGCTAGCCAAATGGGGAAATTCTGGAGGAGAAAAGGAGACACAAGAAAGGAAGAATGCTGTGCAAAGGATCAGGAGCAAAAGGAGTTGAAAGTCAGGTACAACAGTGGCTGCTATGAAGCTGTAATCCCCCAGTGCTGTTTGCCTCTTTTAGAGCGTAGCTTTGACTGTAGTATGTATGTAGTGTGTGTGCAGAGGCATTGCTAGCCGTGATTTAAAGTAATTTGGACAAAAGAAAGGAACATGGCAAATGCTGCTTTAGTACTTTTCATTTCCCCTGACTCAGCAGTTTAGTTGAATGCTGTTTTTCCACTATTGCACTGCATAACACTGCCTGGTGTCTTTCTCAAATAGTGCTGAGCTGAGCTGCTGTTGTGTTCTCAGATGCAAGTTTAGTCTGGTGGGGCAGGGGAATAAACTTGTGCTTTGATGTTCAGAATTCGGATATTGACAGTCTACCGGGCTTGAAAGGGTCAAGAGTCACTGCTAACTGTGGCTGAGTTCTCCCTCCCTGCCTCCATGTCTTAACAGTAGTCCTAGTAAGCTGACATGTTATTTAAAATGCTGCCACCATAAGATTTTTTTGAGAATAAACCAGAAGGAATCTGAGATAACTAGTATTTTTAAGGTTACAGATGAAACTGCTTTGGGCATCAGGTATTTTAAGTTGTGATATTATTATTAAACAAATGTGGTGGGAGCAGGCAAATTAATACAAGAGGAATTACTTGCACAGTTTTGCAGACTTTCGGCTGCAAAGAAATTGTAGTTATTTGAAATACTCGTCCTATATTTATAAGACAATTTATTTGTCACTGATTTCTATTGGCAATTTGGGAGCATCTGAGGCAGGAAATGTGTTAATATTTATATGCCATGTATATTAATCTTTGTGTATGCTGAGAAACAATTTGGTAACTCTAAGCCTATTTGTTGAAGTATGCTATTAGTGATGCCTGTCTGACTGGTATCCTGGACTTCATTCTGTTTTTAAAATGAAAATTCCTACAATGTAAGGAGCTTAGATGAGAATGTTTCCTTTGAAACACAAGATAACTTGGGCTGGGGATGTTGTCATTTTTTTAAGCTTATTTTCTGGATGTGGTTTGGTTTTTTTATCTGTATGTAAATTTTAAACCAGAACTTTAAAACAGAAAAAAAATAAAATGGTTAGAAATTAGTGCATGAATTATGAGTGATATGAACTATTTTCATGTTTAGAACTTTTTTTTAAGAATAATTTTATTTTTTAAATCTAATGGCTCTGAAATATTAGATTGCTGTTGGAGAGTTACATTCTTTTGTTCTGGTTGGCTGGAATGCAGAAAAGCTCTTCAGATTCCCTTCCCCAACTTGATCTTCAGTGCTATAAGCAAGTGAGGAACAATTCTTCATAAATTCTTTTTGCTACTGTACTACTTGGCTGTGTCTGAACTCTGTTAAAAGAATGAATGTGCTTAGTGAATTTGTAAAAAATACTTGCAAGTGCTTCTAATCAAGTTAAAACGAGAAATCAAGTTTAACTTTATTTTTACATGCTCTTTGTTACAAAACCCATTTCAACTCAGAGCCAAAGTAGTTTAAAGAGCATTTCAATCATTGAGAGCTTTTTAGCTTTGGAATATTGCCCGTAATAGTTGTTCCTTGCTCTGTGATTGACAAACCTGAAGGAAGCTGATATTTCTTAATGAAAATCTTTGCATTTTAAAACTTTATAAAAATAGTTAGGGTGTGCTCTACCTGCAAAACCTAAAATCCTTAACACACTCAAAAATCTCAGTGCTACAGTTGTTTTCAGACTATTGTAGGAAAGCAGAGGGAAGAAAATGAGATGTTTTTGTAGAGCTTTTAGCATCTGTAACATGATGTTGCAAATTATGGGAGTGTGATTGTAGTTGGACAGAGATGGAGTTCGTATCAGGCAGAAAGAATACCCTTATTGTTAGTTCTTTTTACTCTCCTTTCTCAGTCTCCACTAGTGCAGGTAGGATTACATTGCAACCAAGTGCACTTAAATTCTAGTAGAAGCCCATGTTCACTGGGATTAGATCTAAAGTGTTCTTAAGTGAAGTAATCTGATGGGTTCTTGTTCATTGTTGTATGGCTTACTTTTTTTCCCTCAACTCCTGCTTCACCCCATAAAGAACATAAATGTACGGCGAGTATTTACTCACACATACTTCTTTTATCTTTGAGGTAAGTCTGCTTCCAGTGAGGTGCTTGCATTCATCACAGGGTGGCTCAGAATTTGTCCTCACTGTTTTTTATTTCTCTCTAAAATACAGAGGAACAGCTGCCTTGCACAGGTGTTGAGCAATTTTCAGTTCTTGTGGAGACAGTCTTTTTGAAGGAACATGTTAAAAGAAGTATTTTCAACAGATCTACTTCTTCTCAAACCTCCCTCCATGCTCCACTTTGCGTATCCCAGGTGTTGCTGTTTAGTATATGTGCTGCTATGAAATGGAGTGCATTTGCAATCTGGTGTACTGTGTACTAAGAAGAAAAATGGAAGGCAGAGAAAATGTATGTGAAAGGTGCTGTAAGAAGCAGACCTATACTGGGAGATCTTCAGTGAGCAGTTTGGTTATCCAGGTGTGAAGGGAGCTTGAATGAAAGCAAATGGTAGGTCTGTACTAAAACTTGCAGTCTTTACAGGCTAGCAAGGAAACAGAGTAAGTCTGTTAAGTCTTTAAGCAGAACTGAAGGTATTGGGACTGATTTATAATGCATTTACTAGCCTTCCTAACTAGGACTTCAGTTGGAATTATTGTGAGACAACTCATTTCAAATATGAAGTTAAAGACTGAGGTGGATTTGTGGCCTTTCAGGGCAGTACAGCTTGCCTTCAAGTCATCATGGGGCTGTACAGGAATTACTGGGAAAACCTGAGGATCAGAAGTGATAGGAGAGTATTTCACCTTTTTTTTCCATGTTGTTAGATTTTCAAATACTGAAATCATTTTTCTCATCAACTGGGATACTTTTGCCTTTGATCCCACCTGATTCTGAAATCCTTTTTCTCTGAAAGAGGTGAAATGTGCTTCCTGATGTCACATGAATTCATACATGTAAGGTTTCATCAGAGAACTGGAACTGAAGGTGAAAAATGTAGCTGACAAACTTTCAGTAGAGAAGATGCAGAAAGAATAGCTGTCTAGATAGCCTCTAAAAATCATGTGAACTTTAAGCCACTCAAGAGCTTAATTTAGTGGAAGACTGGCTGGACAGGCTTAATATAGATAGCTCAGATATCATGTGGAAACTTCAATATAGACATGTATTGATATAAGAGACCTTGAGCTTATTTTTATTTGTTCCTGGTCAGATTGTTTGTTTGATTCCCTCCCTTAACCCCACTCTTTATTCTCAGGAAATGCAGTTAATTGGCAGCTGTTACTGCACAACTACACCAAACTGTGACAGGAGAATGAAAGAAAATTGGCCTTTGTGTTGACACTTGTTCTCATTTAGTCAGTTTTCAGTGGAGTCTGAAAGTTTACTAAGTAAACTTTTTTGGTACTGCTCCTGATAACAAGCTAAACAAGTAGTGGCTCTGGTTAGGATATCCTTCTGCTTGCTGAGAAGCATTGGTGACTCTTGAACATTGCTCTTCTTTTTCTTTCCATAAGGGAAGTTCTTGAAGTGGTGAGAGAGACAAATGCAGTAGGGTAGGTGTCTCCAAGTTGAGAGGAAAGCAGGTAGGTTAGTTTAGATGCATGACCTTCTCAGTGCCTTCCTTCCAATGTAAAACAAAACAAAGGAAAACAAACGTGAGTTTAAGTGTTTATCTTAAAATGGCAAAGTCTGTAATCAGTCAGATTCTGCTAAAGAAAGATGCAAGTTCACTGGGATTTCTACTCTTTTTTTTTTCTTTTGTTTTTCCTTTTGGTTTTTTTTTTTTTTTTTTGTAAGTTGTGCTTTAGAACTAGTTTACTTGTATATTTCCCAATAGTGTAGCTTCAAATTATAACTAACAGCACAGTAATTTTTAACTCTGTTCAGAAAACTTGTTTCTTACCTGGTCATTAACAAGACATCAGTAGGAAAGT